TATGAAATCTCAGCTTTAATTTCATAGTCCAAATGAGAAATCTCTTTTTAATTTGGAATTTGAAATTCATTTCATAGACTGCCTAGGAAAGCTTAAAGAAAAAATAGGATTGGTCCTGACTTTTCCTTACATTGGAGAAATATTGTTACAGCTGAATCTTTGATAAATAGGAAGTCATCTACATGTAATGGGATCTTGTTCACCATGCTCCCAGCCTCTTTTCTCCTGCCCCATTTATTGCTGTCAGAAACACATCCAAACAATGATAAAATATAAAAAGTGGACATGCAGTCTCATGTATTCCTAATATAAGAGTCAGAGCAAAATCAATCATGTCTTACAAATATTATAATTAAAATACATGTATGTATATATCTATATCAGTGAGCAAAGACATACCATCATTCTTAAATCTGTGTCTTCATTGTCCATAAACAAAAATACAGAGAATAAATTTAAGGGAAAAAATATTTCCACAAACCCAACATGTAACCCTCTCATATTAAAGTTAATAGCCCCTACCCACTGCTCCTGCTTAAAAAAAATATATATTTTTTTTTAAATCTGGTTTTCTTGAGGTTCTATTATTTCAGCTATTTTATATATCTACTGACAGAACCTTTAGTTATCTATCTTGTCAATTTTTCAGTGTGCCTTTATTAAAATAGTGCAGGACCTTATGTTACAAGAAATTTAAGGATTTTTTTAAAAAATAAGAACCGTTATTAAGATCTTTTTCTACATGAGGATAAAATATATTTTGGAACCTGAATACATACATTCATACTTCATTTAATATATAGAAACTAGAGGCCCAGTGCACAAAAATTTGTGCACGTGGGGGGAAGGTGGGGGGGGTGGCCCTCAGCCCTGCCTGTGCTCTCTCACACTCTGGGACCCTCGGGGGATGTCCACCTGCTGATCCCCGGGGGGATCAGGCCTAAGCTGGCAGTCAGACATCCCTCTGGCAGCCCGGGAGCCCTCAGGGGATGTCCACTTGCAAGCGGGGAGCAGACCTAAGCTGCAGTCGGACATCCTTAGCACTGCTGAGGAGGCAGGAGAGGCTCCCACCACCACTGCTGTACTGGCAGCCATCAGCTTGGCTTGTGGCTGAGCAGAGCTCCCCCATGTGGGAACACACTGACCACCCAGAGGGCAGCTCCTGGATTGAGCATCTGCCCCCTGGTGGTCAGTGTGCATCATAGTGACCAGTCATTCCCAGTCTTTCTGCTGTTAGGGTCAGTTTGCATATTACCCTTTTATTATATAGGATATTTTATCAAAGCATTACAACATAGGCATTTTTGATGTTTAGTATTAATATTTGCTGGGAAGTAATTTATCTGTAAAGTTATTAAGGTATGTAAGTAATAGGTTCTGACCACCAATTAGGATGTGTGTGTGGAGAGGGTATGCGGGTGTGTGGGGGGGTTCTCCACACTTGAATAATTCTTGAATACCAGTAAGGTATCCTACCACTCAACTCAATTCTGACAGTACCTAGAGATAGCAGCAGATTCCACAGATAAAGGGCTTAGTCCCACAAGAACTACCCTCCACTACAGATGCCAATCATAAACCCAGATTGTCGCCTGTGGCTTCTGACGGACTGGCTGTAAATCAGAGGTTCCCACGACCACCTCATTGTGTTCAATTAATGTGCTAGAACAGCTCACAGAGCTCACTAGATTACAGATTTATTAAAAAAGACATGACTCAATAGCCAGATTAAAAGAAACAATGGGCAAGATCCCAAACAAAGGAGCTTCTATCCTTGTGGAACTTGGGGTTCTGCACATGGAAGTGTTCCAGTTCCCCAACCTGGAAGCTCTCCAAAGCCCCTCCTTTTGGATTGTAGAGGCTCCATTACATAGCCACAGCTGATGAAACCACTGGCCATTGGAGACTGATTCTACCTTCAACCTCTCTTTCCTCCCTAGAAATGGTGTGTGTGTTTGTGTGTGAGTGAAAGTTTCACTCCTCTATTAATGGTTGGTTTCCTTGGCAACCTGCCCCTGTCCTTAGGTGTTTTCTAAAAGTCACTTCATTAACATAAGCCCGGTGGTGGTGGTGGAAAGAGGCTTGTTATGAATCACAAGACACACATTTCACCTTTATGACTCTGAAGCATTTTTAAAATCCAAGAACAAGAGCCCAAATACAACAATAGATGCTCCCCGATGCCTTTATTGCTCAAAATTCCAAGGTTTGAGCAGGGGGGGAGGATGTGAGCCAGGAACTGTGGACAAAGGCCAAATGTATATGAGAAATAGTTTTGGGTCATCTGAATGACCTAATAACTATTTCTTATAAATCACAATATCAAAATATTGCCTATTCCTCTCATTATAGCATATATATTTCTCTTTGGTAGGTTTAAGTATCTGTTTCCCAACCACCATCTTCCCTAATCCCTTATAAGAACATTTTCTGTTCAGTCTTCTATCCTCAGTATCAATGCTTAACACAGGCATGGGACTTAAAGTTTGAATGCATGAACAAATAAATTTGTCATAAAACCAATGAATAAGTCTATATACAAGAGAATAGGACAAGGGAAATAACACTTTAGTGCTTACAGCTGTTGTTCAAATCTAGACCTTCATATCAACTGTTCCTTTTTCCTTCTAATTATAATGCTCTATTATTTGTCCCCATCCTCACCCCCAACTCCCTGTCAGGGTTTTCACTCTTTAACACTCACCTCAAATATCTGCGCACACGAACCCCCCCCCCCCCAAGATAGCTTTCCCTCTTTTTGCTCTAAAACCTTTTCTTGATGCTCCTCAGCCTCCTGGGCATACCTTAGTCACAGCACCTATCACACCATACTATAAAAGGTGAAAGGTTTATACGATCTGAAGAGAAACCAGAGTATCTATTACACCATACTGTAATGATTGGTTATTTCCTAGTCATTTACACTTGAAGGATAGTCTTCATCTGTATCTGCATATCCAGCCATCAGTACACTGCCTCACAGCAGTGAGCACTCAAAAACATTTAGAAGTAATGGGTAAAAGAGTAAATGAATGGGAAGGGGAAAGTCTACATTATGGAAAAGTATCTCAGCATAACTTCTTTGATAAGGTGTCAATCAGGTAGATACACTATTTCAACTTCTAAACAGAGAAAATTAATATGACTGTATATTAAGATCATTGCTTAATACAGGAAAATGACAATTAGAAAAAGTGCTTTAATTCATTGGAAGGACCCAGGCAGAATTATCTTCAACATTCTTTTTCCCTCTCACCCCTGATCCCATGTCAGTAAAAAATGCTTTCTTCCTTTTCAACTTAGGATTCCCTACGCTATCCCCAGATGCCACACGTGGCCCTCCTTCCCAGAAATCACTCAATGATCTCTTCCTCCCAAAATGTGTATATGCCCCATGCCCTCAGAGTCTTGAATCACAGCTGAGTAAGCTCAAAAATATAACCCAGTTGTGTGGGAAATGGGTGCTCAAGGATTGATGTTCCCATTTTGATAGATACTTTTTTTCTAAGGCAATGGCTTTACTCAAAGCCCAGTGGCGAGGAAAAACATTTGAAACATGGGACCTTGCAGAAATCCTCTAGTCACTGCAGTGGGGTGAGCTTCCTCGTGGCACCACAAAGGTGAAGGGGTGAATGGGCCATTTGGTATGTGGATTATTTTGGGCTGAAGGCCATTGAGACCTAGCAGACTCAAGAAAAAATGTTACCACTCTTCACTGCCTAAAATAACTTAGATAATGAGTGGGTCTAGCACAGAAAAAGAGCATAATCAGAGATAACTTTTTATCTGAAAGACTTACCTGCATGGCAGGGCAAACTTCTAATTACCAAACATCTGCTTTCTCATCATCCTGCGAATTACACTATTTTTTTTTTTGCCCTTTGGAGCTCTAGGCCTCTCATTCCTCAGCTCAGGATGGCATATTAAGCTTCGATTTTCCAACTTGCCCTTGTGTCTCATATCTTTAGGGCTCCCATACATATGCAATTATTTTTTTTTTCTCCTGTTAATATGTCTTATGTCAATTTAATCATTAGACCAGCCAAGGGAAGAGGGAACACTTCCCACCGCCTGGAGAGTTAACAAAGCTTGGTGGGTAGGGCAGGGCTGTGAAGCCAGGCTGCCTGAATTTGAATCCACTCTCCAGCCTTCTGAAACCTTAGGCAACCTCACTGGTGCCCACGTTTTTTAACTGTAAGACGAAATAAAAGACCTTCCTGTAGAAACTAGTGGATTGATAATTGTCTGCTATTAATATTATCATCTTACTGTGATTAGGACTAGCTCTGAAAGAACCTGAAGAGAGAAATTCCCCAAGGTCAGAGAGGAAAAAGGAGAGTGCACTTACTGATTTGGTTGTTCAGCTTGAATGCAATGTCCAGCTGCAGGATAAACAGCATGAACTGGAACCAAGGACTCATCTCCATGGAGGGGAGAGGAATGTGGACAGAAAACACAATGTCATTGGCTCCTATTTCCTTTGGAATCGCTTCATCGATGTCTCGGATTTTGTGGCAGTGGTTGGGTCCCCAAGGCACGAACCATTTTGTCTTGTGATGGTTTTTACGAACATCCACACATTTCACTGACATGTAGGACACTGCTGTGGTGGGTCCTGGAGCTGAAAAGAAAATGTTTTCTTATTTTAGAAAAATCATCCACTGAGGTGCTCATTTCTGGCTAACATTCTTTTTACTACCTTCTTCTCTCCATTTTTTTTTGTACTGCCTTCTATAATTTGGGATCAGTAATACATATGGATCTCCCAAATCTTGGTGAGAATCCTTCACTGACCTCTGTAGGTGTCTTAAAGTATCCCCAAAAGCCTACCCAGTGTGTTTTCAATCACTGGTATTTATTGAAAGAATATATTTGTAATCTGTTTGGTTCAGTTACCTCCTCACTCTAAAATGAATGTCACAAAAATGCACAGTGCTTCGGTTCCCACCTGCCTGTGAACCTCAGGGCTCTGGTGCTTCATAGACGAGTGTCTCAAGTCAGAAGACCAGGGTCTGAAACCTGCTTAAACAACTTCCTCTCAGCTCATCTTGGGGAAGTTGGTTAAATCTATAGTGGCTTCAGGACCCTCATCTGAGAAACAAAATGGTTGGTTTCTAAGATTCAACCAAGATAGCTGGTTTCTAAGATTCTTAACTCTAAAGTTTTACAAAATTGCTTTTCTAAAAATATATATTTTTATTGATTTCAGAGAGGAAGGGAAAGGGAGAGAGATACAGAAATATCAATGATGAGAGAGAATCATTGATCTGCTGCCTCCTGCACACTCCCTAGTGGGGATTGAGCCCACAACCAAAGCATGTGCCCTTGACAGGAATCGAACCTGAAACCCTTCAGTCTGGAGGCCAAGGCACTATCCACTGAGCCAAACCAGCTAGGACCAAAATTGCTTTTGATTGAGAGAAAGAACTAAGTTAACCTCAGGTCCCCACTTATAGAGTGGTACCTTTCAAAGGATGAGAACTCAAACATTGATACTTCAAAAGTACAAAATATAATCCACGCATTTTAAGAGAGAACATCAGATTTGAACAATATAACATTGAAAAAAACACTATTTTGTGATTACAAAATGATTACACAATTACAGTAGAAATTTTCAAAATATAGAAATTTTCAAGTTTGAAACAACATTTACGTCAAATCCCACTAGCAGTGGTTCTTAACCTTCCTAATGCCACGACCCTTTAATACAGTTCCTCATGTTGTGGTGACCCCCAACCATAAAATTATGTTTGTAGCTACTTCATAACTGTAATTTTGCTACTGTTATGAATTGTAATGTAAATATCTGATATGCTATATGTGTTTTCTGATGGTCGCGACCCACAGGTTGAGAACCACTGCTAGAGGGAAGTAACCATTATTAGAAAATATCAAAATACTATCTTTCTTTTCTATGAGTGTATCCTATCTAATAATAGACAAACATGGTAATTAACCATACCTCTGCTATGTTTCCCATTGACTAATCATGGTGATATGCAAATTAATTGCCAACCAAGATGGCGGCCGGCAGCCAGGCAGCTGAAGGGAACAGGAGGCTTGGTTGCCCTGGTGATGGAGGAAGCCAAGGTTCCCCGCCTGCCGCAACATGACTCTGAGCTGCACTCTAAGCAATAATGTTGCAATTATAGAAGCTAAACAAACCCCAGATACCTGCTTTCAACCAGCCTGCCTTGGAGCTGGAGCCGCAACAAAGTTTCAAGTACAGAAGGTAAATAAATCCCAGAATATAAAAAAAAACGAACAAAGATAAAAACAGGAAAAAAGGAGAGACTGGGAGTTTCAGTTGCAGGCTTGGCCTGCCTGAAAACAGTCCTCAGCCCCTCACCCAGGCTGGCCAGGCCCCCAAGCAGGACCCCCGCCCTGATCCAGGACACCATTCAGGGCAACCCAGCCAGCCCCCACCCGTGCCCCAGGCCTCTATCCTATATAGTAAAAGGGTAATATGCAAACTGACCCTAACAGCAGAAAGACTGGGAATGACTGGTCACTATGATGCACACTGAACCCCAGGGGGCAGACACTCAATGCAGGAGCTGCCCTCTGGTGGTCAGTGCGCTCTTACAGGGGGGAGCTCTGCTCAGCCACAAGCCAGGCTGATGGCTGCCAATACAGCAGTGGTGGTGGGAGCCTCTCCTGCCTCCTCAGCAGGGCTAAGGATGTCCAACTGCAGCTTAGGCCTGCTCCCTGCTGGCAAGTGGACATTCTCCGAGGGCTGCCAGGCTGCCAGAGGGATGTCTGATTGCCATCTTAGGCCCACTCCCCTGGGGAGCAGGCCTCAGCCAGCAGACAGTCATTTCCCAAGGTTTCCCAGACTGTGAGAGGGCACAGGCCGGGCTGAGGGACCTTCCCTGCCCCCCCTCCCCCCAGTACACAAATTTTTGTGCACTGGGCCTCTAGTAATTATATAAAAACATATACATGAATTAAATTGTATGACCTTAAAATACATACTAATATTAACAACAAAAATTTTACAAACCGGGATCATGCCATACATAGTTTTGTAGCTTTTCCTTCTCACTCACTCAGAAAATCAGAGCAGCACAGTGGTAAATAATACCAGCTCTGGAGCCAACTTGCCTGATGTCTAATCCTGGCTCTCTCATTCTCATCGTGTCACTGCTAAGCCACACTAGGGAAGTTTTGGGTGATATTACTAAACCGGTCTGTGTATTATTAGTTTTATCATCTCTTTAATGGCAATAATAATAATACCTACCTCTCTGAGTCATTGTGTACAAGAAACAAGTTAGCATAGAAAGTACTAAGAACAGTGTTTGAGAATATAAAAAGTATAAAACTAATATTACTTATTATGTTATAAATAATTTCTCCATAATTAAACATTTTTAACTTGCAGTTACAAAATAATTATATGATATACCAAATTGAACTTACCTACACACCCCTTAGTTTGTAAAGGTTGTCTATAAGAATAATTCTTTGCCTGATATTTTTTGTTTCTAATTTATCTTACCATTTGCATCTGCTGTCTATATTTTAATATAGAGATGATCCAAATTATATATAGAATCTCTCTTTTCATTTTTTTCTATGCTTTTTTTCCTTAGAGAAACTTTCTTTACCTCCAAATTCAAAAAACAGTCTCCTTTATTAACTTCTAGTTATTTTTAACAATTTTATATTTTTAATGTTTAAATAGTTGAACCTTCTGGAATTTGTTTTGATATGAGATGAGGTGAGGTTCTAGATTTTTTATTATTTCTAATATTGACATTGTTCTTTACTGAATAGACTTTCATTGACTTATGACATCACTTTATCTTATGTATAACAATAGATGTTTCTGGACAATCTGTTCTGTTTCATGTACTGGACTGTCAAGTCATGGCCCAACACAACACTGTTTTGAATTCTGTATGTTGATGGTGTGTACCAATATCTGACAGAATAAATCCCCTCTCCCCAATCCATTTCAAATGTATGTCCTATTGCTGGGATTTTCATTGAAATTACCTTAAGTTTATAAGTGAAAGTGGACAGAATAAGTATTCTTTTCCAACATTTAGTGTTCCCATGCAAGAACAATGATCGCTTCTCCATTAACTGGACTTCATTTTGACATCTCTTTCATAGCTTTCTTCATGTGGATTTTGCCAGTATAGTATCTTTTTTTAAATCAATTTATAAAAATGTTCTCCTAAAGTTAGTAGTGAATGAAAAACATTATATAAATTATGTTTAACGTGCACGGTTTACATATGTTTAATTCTGTAAATATATTCAGTATACTGTTCTCTCAGACCTGTTACCAGCAGAAATCATCTCTTATTTAATGGAGAAATATGTAAAGCAAGAGGAAAGTCACATAGGAGGCAAAAGTTTGTATAATTAATATGTTCTCTACCTCTAATGATCAGATACACATTATTCTACACCTAAATATCTATCCTAAATTTTAAGTAGTAACATGTTTGCAGAAAGTGTGACAATGCCTAATGAAAGGTACCTGAAAACCCTGCACTATAAACTCTAGCTGAAAGTCCTTCAGTGTAGAATCCTGAACACTGCAGCCCGGAGTCACCATTAATCCATGCCAGGGCGGTTTTTTTTAAAAAACTCAAAACTGTATCACAAAGACATTTTACACCTAATTCATCTGCAATCAGACATCTGGCCTATTATTAGAAATATGAATCAATCAAATTTTGGTTATCCTGACTCAGCTAAATAGCCCACTGACATTAAAAAGACCAAATGGCACATTTAACTGAACCCTTTTTAATGTGGTTGGAGAAATAAACAGGGAGACAAAAGTCATGAATTCTATTTTTGGCTAACATGCTCAAACTGACTATTTGTGGCAAAAAATAGTGACTACATTTAAAAACGTCTATTCTTCCAAAGTGAACCTAACCTTTTTTCATTTTTTTTCCTTTTGAAAAACAAGCCCTTCCCCCGTTGGACCAAAATGAAAAAATAACTAGCTGAGTTCCTCAGCTAAACTCCAAAACCACATTCCAAACTTAATAACAGAGAAGCTGAGCACTTTACGGGCACAAAGGCTGCATTTTTAATGGACACAGTGAACGCCTGCCTTTGTAGCAGCCTGAGTCATTTTCATTCTTTCATTAGAACAGTGTTTCTTGCATAAAGAAAAAAATCCCAGGAATACTAATATTTTTCATAAAGGTCATGACAATGAACTTGGAGAAACCTCAAATGCATCTCCAGCTACACTATGAGAATCACAAACATTTTCCTTTACTTGAATAAATTAGTCTTCTGGACTCAAAAACCTTTGCATAACTTAAAAACCGGAAGACAATTTTGTATTTTCAATGTTTCTAGTTGTGCTCAAAAGGCAAAATATTGTATTGTTGGAGGAAGTAAATAGAAATTGTGATATTCATAAATGGACAATAAATGTTTCCTCAGTAATGTATTTATACCTCAAGACAATTTCCTACTCCCAGATGTTTTTTTATGTAGGAAGCCTATCAAAGTAAACTAAAAAATAAAGCTTATACCTAAAGGCTGGTTGCCTACAGTAGTTTCATTAAATTGTAGCCAAAATTGTGACTACAGGGATTACAAAACAGTGTCTAAAATGAAAAGAAGTTTGATTTGTCATTAATTTTTTTTTAAGTGTGGTGGATTTTATTGTAAGGGAACAGAGTGAAATGAAGAAGTTGAAATTACCTGCAGCCTCTGAAGAAGCTACAGTCAACTAAGAGGTAATATGAAGTGAAGGTCTTACTTAGAAACCAGTGTGGTTCTAGGGATTAATAGACTGTGTTTATTTAAGAAGGGGCTGGATGGATTCAGGTCAACAAACTGAGTCATGTTTACTCGGGTGAAAGCTAAAAATAACCACTCCTCAGTAATCCTAGGATAGTAATGCAATACCACCCAGCTGCCTCAGCATACTTTGTAAATGTCCCCTCTATCCACCCATAGCATTTACTTGAAAAAAGTGGGCCAAAACTTACCTCTACATCAGTACAATTTAATAGACAGAGCAATCTGGCCAAAAATGAATATGCCCAGGTGCTGTGGATGGATTAACTTCTGGTAGGTTAAGACAGCATTTAGAGTATGCCCCGAAGTCATAAAACCACAAGCTGCTTCATTGAAAACTCTGGCCCATTTGAGTTCAGTTCTCTTTACTATGTCAAACATAGGGCTTTTTTTTCTTTCCTTATCTGTATTGCCACACAGAATTTTTGGCCTCCACCTCTCTACTATAGCACAAAAACTGTGAAATGTGATACCACATGGCATTTAATTTTAAATGATATGAAATCAATTAGACTTCTAATGCAAGGCTGTGAAAAATGCACAAACAACAATTTGAAGCCTTTGAAAATTCAGTGGCCTCTCAATTATGCACATTACTAAGACTCATACTTCATTCACCAAATATGTCTTGAGTACCTACTATGCACTAGGCACTGTTAGAGGGGGAAGTGAACCTAATAGACACCAGCCATGTCAAATGTACAAATAATGGGAAAAACAGACAAAAACCCCCCAAATAATTACAGAAAAAAGTAATTATAATTGTAATGAATACTATGTTTATCCTGACATTACATGAAAAAGGACAATAGTCAGATATTTGGGAGGCAGGGAAATTGAATTTTTGAGAATGAGGCAAAAATTCCATTCCTCATCACAATGTAACCTTGAATAAAAATGTAAGTGAACAATGACTAAGCCCACACTTCTTTTGGAAGAATATTCATTGACTCCAGTCAGCTTCCTGTTATGGCCTCTCAAATGGCAGTCCAGTTTACAAATTACTATCTAGCCAACCACTACCGCTATCATGCTCAAAGTTGAGTCAACATCAAATCATTAGCCCCTACTCCTTCCAGACCTGTAATTAAAGAGTTGGACAGAGATGCAAGACTTGGTTGCCTCCTAGAAAAGTTAAAATTAAAACAGTATGTTGACGTGACACATGGTCTCCATTTAGGCCAACACAGACTACTTATTTCTTTGCTTTATTCAAGTGAAAAAAACTCCTTTAGCAATTATCTAGGAGCGTTATTATTATGTGAGCACTGTGCTAAGTAAAGATAGAGACAATGAGAGTCCCAGACCCCGAGTTGCTCACACTCTGGTGTGGGAGGCTGAGAAGTTGGCAGAGAAGTACATCCTGATGGAAACTTGCTCTGATAGAGGTTTGGACGGGATACATCAGTTGGAAAGGGGGTGGTGGGTGGGGGAAGCTGCTTGCAGAAGGCTTGGACTTACTAGTAGGTTCCTTAGGTTCATACTTATCCTTGAAAGAGAGCAGGTGTTTGTTAGCCAGAGGGGGAAAGGGCGACAGCCAAATGGGGAAGGTTCTGAAGAAGACCATGTACTCCATCATAGGATACCTAGGAAACGACAGTATGTTTTGCAGATGTCTGTGTTTGAGCATTAACATTTTTTAAAAAGATCACTTAACAGGTGAAGATGCAGCACCACTCCTAACTTTGTTTCAGCTCTTTGCTTTCTCTAACCAGTGGCATAGTTCTACTAGGGAGCTTGGGTTCTGCTCCCAACAGTCTCTGCTCCAGTCTATAGAGCAACATGAAGAAGAAATAATAAACAGACCTACAACGAATTTTTACATGGAGGATCTTTCCTCCTAAGACACCTATCTCTCTGTCCTGTAGGAAAGTTTCCACAAGGCTAGACATGAGCTCTACTGGAAGGTTGGAGAAGCAAGAGGGGGTGTGGGGAGGGAATGAAGAGACTCCATCTCTTATTATGGTAACTGGGCCTCTGAAGAGCCTTTGAAGTCTAGATCATCCTTCACCTAAATTACAAAAAGAATGTCTGCCTTGCAACAAAAATGATATTTAAAGATTAATCTTCTTTAAAGATTCCTTGTAATCTTTCAGACTACAAGGGGAAGGAATGTGGAGAACAGACCAGTTAAAAGGATAACGCATATTTATGAGCATTGATAATCATTCTGCAATTGCTAGCAGATTTATTTAGCTACTGCCTCAAGAGGGAGGTTGATTTAACTCTTAAACCCCAGTCTCAGTTTGAAAACTGCTATCATGATCTCTGGACATGGTATTTATAAGATTACATACAGCTATTCTCTCTTATCCACAGGGGATACGGTACAAGACCCCTGGTGGTGGATGCCTAAAATGCCCAATTTGGCATACCCGAATTGCTAGCATCACTCCTCTTGTGCTTTGGGGCCATTATTAAGTAAATAAGGGTTACCTGAACACAAGCACTGAGATACTGAGACAGTCCA